AGGCCAGTGGTGCCATACATATTTCCTTTGGTGGGATTTAAATGTGCTGCCTTTCAGTTTCGTCCAGTGCCCCCCTGCTCCTGTGCGATGAGACTGGTTGAGCAGAATGCCCAGCTCTGCCCTGGGAGCCTCTCTTCATCTTTCTCTGCCTCAGTTTGCCTCAGCACAATGGGGAAGGATGAAGGCTGCCCAAGTGACCAGATGATTTTAATGTTCCCCACAGTGCCTGAAAGGTGTGGGGGTGAGACGGGCGGGGACGCTGAGGTATGGAGCAATGACTTGATTTGTGCACACAGTGGTTTAGTGGCAGACCAGGGAATAGAACCCAGGAATCCTGATTATGCCTCCTCTAACCACTGGACCTCACTCCCCTCCCTGAGCTGGGGCTAAAACCCAGGAATCCTGACTCCCAGCCTTGCCCTCCTCCCAGACAGAACCCATGGTTAGACCCCTGCCTCTAACTGCTGTGCTTATTTACAACAAACCCCTTCCAGAGCAGTGCAGGGCTGGGCCGGTTCCGGGGCCAGGAGGGGCCAGGGGGCTGGGAGGCCCGGTGTGTGCCAAGACCTGCTTGGGGGCATCCCCAAGACACCCGCCCTGACTCCCCTGTGTTGGGCCTTTCCCCTCGTTCTTGGTGCCGAGCTGGCTGGTGCTCACACAGCTCAGTGAAGTTGCTCCATGCGGCTGCTCAGGGTGGAGGGGAGCATTGGCTGGCTGGGCCTGTAGATTCATTGTCATAATTAGCTCATGTCACCCGGGGCCCTCAAAGTGTGTGGCCAGAGAAGGAGAGGATCATTAACCCCTGATTTACAGATGGGGAAACTGAGGCATGGAGGGGGTTGGTGGCTTGCCCAGGGTCTCACAGCAATCGCTGGTGGAACTGGGAATACAATCTAGGAGTCTTAACCTCTGCTGACCCCCTCTAACCACTAGATCCCACTCCCCTCCCAGTGCCAGGAATAGAACCCAGGAGTCCCGACTCTCCAATCCCTCCACCCCATGCTAACCACTAAGCCTGTTTTCGATTCTTACAAACCCTGCTCTGAGAATACCTCCAGGAGGCGGCTTACCACTGGGCTCACCGCACGCATGGGGCTGGGCAGGACTGGTCCCTAGGTGACCTGTTGCTAGGAAGCGCAGATCCTGGTGGGTCTGTAGCAGGCCACTGCCAACCCAGGCTTCGTGCCAGCCCTGGCTCACTGCCCCATTCCTGCTCCTGGACAACACAGTTCCGGCAGAGCAGCATGGCCAGGGATGCCCACTGAGGCAGGGGTTTCGGGGATTAGGCAAAGTTAGGATTTGCGCCGGGACAATGCCCTGTACCCCGGGCATCTGGATTGGTGCCACCGTCTCTGTACCAGCCACGCACGGCGACTGTGGTGCGGCCCCCGGGCTCAGCTGGCATGTGGCAGGCTTGGCTCCTAGTAATTCCGGGGGCCTGCGACCAGCGAGAGCTGCAGATTGGTCAGCAGTCTGGCCACCGGGTACCCTCCAGCTCCGCTCACTCCCCCCCCCCTTATTAGAGTCGCCCGGGATTTCTCATCTCACCTGTGCTAATGAGGCCTCTGGATTTAATGAGGTTCTTCCGGCTGAAAGAATCGGCTCTGTCAGCTCCCCCGAGGGGCCGGGAATCCGCAGCCACAGACGTGTCGCTGGCAGCTCGTTGTGATCGCTAGGATGCGCTGCCCTCCCCGGCTCAGCCACTCGTGCTAGGCTGGCAGGAGACCCCAACAATGCCAGGGCGGCCGGTCGCTGGCAGGGTCCTTTTGGTGGATCTCAGGGTGCCTGGCAGGCAAGGGAGCCGGCAAACTCTGCTCACCGCTGCAAAGTCGTGGGGCTCTCATGGGGCTGATGGGCCCCGTTCGCCAGTCCGTGGCAGCTTGAAAACACTCACTCTCTCCTTCCCACTCCCCTGCTGCCCGCCAGCCCTGGGATCCCTGGTTCTCCTGCCTCCTGCTCCGAGTGCATCCTGCTGTGGGTGCGGGAGAGGGGGAAGACTGGGGGCCCCCTGTAGCTTGGGGATCTCCTGTCCCTCTACCTCCCCTTCTCCGCCATGGATGTATGCATGTGGCTGGCAGCAGCCGGAGACACACATGATCTCTTATTAAGAACGGCAGTTAAAAAACAGTGTCTCCCACTGGCATGATTTTACATCATTTTGCTAAACCTAATTAGTGTCTCGCCCTGGGAGGAAGCGGCGTATCTGAGTTCCCCCCGCTGTTCTCTGGGACGACCCAATCCAGGGAAGGCTGGCCCGCCTCTGGCTGCAGGGCTAGTACCCCCTTCGCCTGGCTAATGCCACTGTTCCCGAGCGGGCGGCCAAAGGAAAGCGTGGGCTGCGAGCCATGTGTACGAAACCGTGTGTGCGTGCGGATGTGTGCGTGTGCACGCCCTGTGCGTGTATGTGACGTGCCTGGTGCCTGTGTACGCGAAATGGTGTGGCGCCGTGTGTGTGTGTGTGTGGGCATTGTGTGTACAAAACCGTGCGGGAGCGTGCGTGTGTGTGCTCGCACTGTGCGTGCTCTGTGCGGGTGTGTGTGTGTGCATGTACGGAGTGTGTGTACACAAAACTGCTTGTCTATAGCATGGTGGGGGGACGTGTACAAAACCGTGTATGCACAGTGCTCGTGTGTGCGGGCACACTCTGTGTGTGTTTGTGTACAAAGCCGTGTGCGTGCTGTGTGTGTGTACAAAACTGTGTGTGCGTCTCGCTTTTCCTCCTCGATGGGCCATGGAGAGGATAACAGCCTACTACTGCGGCTGCCGTTGGCTAAGAGGCGTACCCCTTTAGCTCAGGCATTAAGCGCGCGGTGCCTTGGGGCTGAATTGCTTGCAGATGGTGGGGACGGTCGCAGTCTCCGTCTGATGCTCTGTCCTGTTGAGGAAAGGGTCGGGCCCGGTCTCTTCCCGGGAGAACGCAGCTGCAGAGCCGTGCTTGTTTCACAGTGGTTCATTTCTGGAGCGGCCACGATCCTGCGGTGCTGGTCAGGGGCCGCGTCCCTCCCGCCGGGGCTAATGAACGGAAAACTGCTCTGAAGGTGGCTCCGGGTGGCAGGTAGCTGCGTGAATGGGGCCGGGCGGAGATGCCCCCGGGGACAGAGTCAGCGTTGCCCAGAGCTCTCGCGGGCGCGCAGGGTGGGGCATGGTAGCCGGGCTGGGATCCAGCGGGAGCCAGGGACTGAGAGTCTCTCCAGGGCAGTGAACGGAGCTCGTTCCCTCTCGCTCGCCCTGCGGTAAATCAGGGGCTGGGGGCCGATAGCTACACCAGCCAGAGTGAGAGGGGAGTCGGTCCCCAGGATTTCCCCTGTGGGACCCAGCCCAGGGCTCGCTCGGTGGGAAGGATCCAGGGCCAATAGCTAAGCTGTTCACAAGTGGGCAGGGATTTTGGGCGGCCTGAAGGAAGACACCTTAAAGGGAGCCCCGATGTTCAGCGCATGTGCTGGGTCTCTGAGGTGTCCCCCCATCACTAGTCGCTTGGGATAAATCTGAGCCCACCCCACCCCCTGCAGACATCTAGCCATCTCCAAGGCTCACCCTTTGGGCAGCAAGACCCCCCGTTGTGCGGCCGATAATAAATCCATAGCCCTGGGGCGCTCTGCTGCACGCAGTGGGGGGAAAACCCAGCCCCTCCAGCCCCAAAAGCCCAAGCCACCTGCCATTAGAGCTAAAGGAAAATCCTCACTAACTGTTAGCAGTAGAGGGCTCATGAGACACAGAGGTACGGTCCTGATGCCCTCCAGTAGAGGGCACTGGGGCTGGGTTTTACTCCTGGTGCAAGCAACTGAGGGGGTAACTCCAGTCAAGCAACCAAGTGTCTCCTACCTGCTCCGGGGCTAGCTTTGCCTCCACTTAGCTCACCCGAATCCTACAGCTTGGAGCTGGAGTGCCTTACCCACCCCGCTCCCCATTCTGCCTCCGGGACCTGCTGGGACCAGGGGCCAGTGCCACCGTTATCCCTTCCCTCCTTCCCAGCCTGCCCACTTCATAGATGTAGCCAATTACTGCGGCCCCAGCCCACTATTGAGCTACCATAACTGAATCAGCTGCCCGCCTCCAGCTGCTGGATTTGAACCCTGCCCAGCTGGGTTAGACCTTCTGCTGCAGCTCCTCCTTCAGCCCTGCTGCCCCGGTGCCCACTGGGCACGGCCACGGGGGGCAGAAAGTGGCAGGCGGCCGGGCGAGAGAAGCAGTTTCTGCTGAGCGGGAGTCTGCTGGTGTCTCGGAGGTGCAGGCGTGGCTGGGCCTGTCCTCTGGGAAGGTGGCTGAAGCACTGAAGGGCACTGTCAGGGGAGTGCATGGCAGGGCTGGGATAGCAGGGGGCTGCGGGCCAGGACTGAGGGGCCCTGGGGGAAGGAAGAGCCCAGGCCTGGGATAGCAGGGGGCTGCGGCCCAGGACTGAGGGGCCCTGGGGGAAGGAGGAGCCCAGGGCTGGGATAGCGGAGGGATGATTCCGGGGATCTCGCCCCAATAAAGGGCCAGGAGAAGCGACTGTTGGCCCTGTTCGGTCCGACCTGCCAGGGCGACCCCTGCAATGCCCTGAAATCCACTCCCCCTAGAACCCAAGCGAATCGCTCGGGTTTCCTGCCCCCGCCCGAGCCTCGGGCAGCGAGCTCCGTAGAAGCGTTCAGAACAGGAAGAAGGCATAAAAACAGCGACGCATCGCCCGGAGGGCTGCAACGCAGAGCCGAGCTCGTAGGTTGTGTTTGGGGGGATCCATCTGTCGCGTACCAGCGACTCGCAGCTGGTCTGAGAGACGCAGCGAGCAGAGCACGGCGCTGAAGGGAGGGGGGGCGGGAGCCGGTTGGTTAGTGTAGGAGCCTGGCGCAATCTGTCCCAGCAATGGAAGGGGAGTGGGGGCTAGTGATTGGGGGGGAAGGGCTGGGAGCCAGGGCTGGGTTGTATCCCAGCTCTGGGAGGGCAGAGTGCTTTGGGATGCTCCGAGCCCCAAGGAGGTGTGAGCCTGGAGTGCTATCACAAGTCTCTCTCGTTCTCTCCTCTAGATCCTGCTGGGTCTGGCAGCCGCACCGAAACGTCCAAGATCATGGCGCTGGCATGGCAGCCCCTGCCCAAATTCCTCTCCAAGGCTCTGCTGGCCTCCGTCCTCCTGGCTGAGAACTTCCACCAAGCGGGAGCCTTGGAGACAGTGCCGGAAAGCAACGTGAGCTGCCGAGGGTCCAACACGTGCCAGCCGGGGGTGCTGCTGCCCGTCTGGCAGCCGGACAACCCCTCCTTCGGCGACAAAGCTGCTAGGGCCATTGTCTACTTCGTGGCCATGATGTACATGTTCCTGGGGGTCTCCATCATCGCCGACCGCTTCATGGCCTCCATCGAAGTCATCACCTCCAAAGAGAAGGAAATCACCGTCACCAAGGCCAACGGCGAGACCAGCATCGGCACGGTGCGGATCTGGAACGAGACGGTCTCCAACCTGACCCTGATGGCACTGGGCTCGTCCGCACCCGAGATCATGCTCTCCGTCATAGAGGTGTGCGGACACAACTTCCAAGCTGGGGAGCTGGGCCCCGGCACCATTGTGGGGAGCGCCGCCTTCAACATGTTCGTGGTGATCGCCATCTGCGTTTACGTCATCCCCGCCGGGGAGAGCCGCAAGATCAAGCACCTGCGGGTCTTCTTCGTCACGGCCTCCTGGAGCATCTTCGCCTACATCTGGCTCTATCTGATCCTGGCGGTCATCTCCCCGGGCGTGGTGCAGGTCTGGGAAGCTCTGCTGACACTCGTCTTCTTCCCGGTCTGCGTGGTCTTCGCCTGGATCGCTGACAAGCGGCTCTTCTTCTACAAGTATGTCTACAAGAGGTACCGCGCTGATCCTCGGAGTGGCATCATCATCGGCACCGAAGGGGAGTTCCCCAAGGACATCGAGATGGATGGCAGCTTCCTGGCCAACGACCACCGGGAGAACATCTTCATGGACGGGACAGCCTCCGCGTCCCCAGCCCTGGCCTCCTCCACCCAAGAGGAGAAGGAGCTGGACGAGAGCCGCAAGGAGGTGATCCAGATCCTCAAGGACCTCAAGCAGAAGCACCCGGACAAAGAGCTGGAGCAGCTGGTGGAGATGGCCAACTACTATGCCCTGCTGCACCAGCAGAAGAGCCGAGCTTTCTACCGCATCCAAGCCACCCGCATGATGACCGGGGCTGGGAACATCCTGAAGAAACACGTCTCGGAGTTCTCCAAGAAGTCGTCCAACCTCCTGGAGGTGCCGTCGGAGGCGGAGGAGGAGAACTATAGCAAGATCTTCTTTGAGCCCTGCCTGTACCACTGCCTGGAGAACTGCGGCTCAGTCACGCTGACCGTGGCCTGCCAGCAGGGCGGGGAGGGCAACCACACCTTCTACGTGGACTACAAGACGGAGGATGGCTCGGCCAAGGCAGGCTCCGACTATGAATATAGCGAGGGGACGCTGATCTTCAAGCCGGGCGAGACGCAGAAGGAGCTGAAAATTGGCATCATCGACGATGACATCTTCGAGGAAGACGAGCACTTCTTCGTCCGCCTGCTCAACCTGCGGGTGGGGGACGCCGAGGGCATGTTTGAGTCCGACTCGGCCGACCACCCCAAGGGACGGCTGGTGGCCCCGCTGATTGCGACCGTCACCATCCTGGACGACGACCACGCTGGCATCTTCACCTTCCAGGACAAGCTCCTGCGTGTCAGCGAGTGCCAGGGCACCATGGAGGTGAAGGTGGTGCGGAGCTCTGGGGCGCGGGGGACGGTGATCGTCCCCTACCGGACGGTGGAGGGGACGGCTCGTGGAGCGGGGATCGACTACGAGGACGCCTGCGGGGAGCTGGAATTCAAGGACGACGAGACAGTGTAAGTACGAACCGTCGGCCTGGTCCGCCTTGGAGATGCACCCAGCATTGCAGCCTGGTGAGGGTGTGCCTGCATGCAGGAGCGCGTCAAGCCTCAGCTTCTGGAGTCCTGGGATTAGCTGAGAATGTTGGCTTTCATTATTGTGAAAAAGTTTAAAAAAGCAAGTTTCTAGCCCTCATGGTTGGGGAGAAATATTGGAAAATGCAACCCCCTACTGGCCCCAAATGCAGAAGGTGGGGAAAAAACCCCAGCCTATATATATATATATATATATATATATATATATTTAATCTAATGAGTTTTGAAGGCATGGGGGCTGGCCATACTGAGATGCCACCCCTCAGTGGCCAGCCACTGTGGAAAGCCAAGATCTGTGCCAGATGTGGGGTTTCCCACCAGTGGCTGGAATTGGGGCAAATCTTCAGTGCAGACAAGGCCGTGGGCTCGATTGCTTGTAGCCCGTGGTTCAGTGCGGATCGAGTTGCTTCACTGTGTCCGAGCTATTGAGGATGTGGGTCTGCTACAGACGGTGGCAGGTGGGTGTAAATTCAGATCTGGCAGCGCTTTCTGCTGGGCGCAGGGCCTGAAGGAGGCGCAGAGCTAGGGAGAATCGGGCCCTTCGTATTCTAGCTCTTTAAAGGCCACCTCTTCCTTATGGCTCTCTGGTGACTTTTGGGGAGTGGGGTCGGGGAGGGGGAGACATCAGCTGTAAATACTCGTCCCCTGGCATCAGTGTCAATTTCCTGCTCCCAGGTCCTCTTTGATAAGAGAAGAAAAAGCATTGCACTGCCCTGGCTGGTATTATTGCTCTCTGCTGGGGGAAATAAGAACTTCTCACTTGTTTGTCCTATGCCCTGTACTGCCAAAGCTGTGGGGGATTCGCCATTAGCGCAGGGGGCTGGGATTTTGGAGAAGGGCTATATCTGGGTTCAAGCCCCACTCAAGTTCCTGGTATGCAGCAGGTGTGACGATCTAGGGAGTCGTGCGTATAGCGATCTCTGTGCTGAGTGCCACATTGTGCAAATGGCTGGGAGCCCTCAGCTCCCTGTGCCCTAAAGAAACCCTCGTTCCCTGAAGAGTTCCTGGGTTTGCAGCAGGAAAAGGGGGTGGGGGAGGAGATTCCCAGGGCTCGTGCTAGGGCCGTGAAATACGTGACTCTAAAAGGAGCCGCTTAGCAGCCGCTCAGGGCCAGAGCTCAGAGAGCAAAGGCAGGAGAACCTAGATACGGTGGGCTGGGGTCTGCCTTTGCTGGCTGACACGGGGAAACACCCAGTTCTCCTCTGAGCTTCGACTGTATTATTAGGGTTTTTCGGCCGGCTCCGTGAGAGCTTGTCATGCAGCGCGCCCCCAGATCACTACTGTTCACACTGGGTGTAACCAGCCTGCTCCTGTGGTGGGGGGGCCTGGCCCGGGACTGAGCCCTGGCACTGCCCCAGACTTACTCTGGGAGCTCGAGCAAATCACTTCCTGGCTCTGGCTTGTAACGCGGGGAGAACCAGCCTTCCTCTGTCTGTGCAGACTGTGAGCTCTCTGGGCCCAGTGCTCTCGCTTGTATCTGTGCAGTGCCCGGCTCCGTGGGGGACTCCGATCTCAGTCGGGGGGGGAGGTCTGTGCAGCGATTGGCCCAGTGGGAGACCCCAATCTCCGTCGTGGAGGGGGGTGGTGGTCTGTGCAGTGCCCGGCCCAGTCGGGAACCCTGATCTCAGTTGGGGGGGTCTGTGCAGTGATCGGCCCAGTGAGGGACCCTGATCTCAGTTCGTGGGGGTCTCTTCAATGCCCGGCCCAGTGGGGGGACCCCAATCTTGGTCTGTGAGGGTCTGTGCAGCGCCCAGGACTACAGGGTCCTGATCTCAGTTGAGGGCTCTAGGTGCTACTGGAATAGAAATTAGGCTAATTTGTGGATTTCCCACATTAGAATATAAATCTGAGACGAAATCATTGTCTCCCAGTGCTCCTACATCTGCCTGCCTGTCTCCAGCTGTCGCCTCTTCTCTGCTCCTTGGGCTTGGTCTGTGCCCAAATCTCCTGCCAGGAGGAGAATGTCGATTTAGGAGGGTGATAGTTTTTGACAACGTGTTTATACCAGCAAAAGCCCCAGGGCGGATGCAGTTACAGCAGCCAAAAGTCCTTCTGCCAGGGTTGCGGATTTTGTTCAGGGAACTGTACTAAACAGTGCCAAAGAAAGCACACTTTTGCCAATAGAAGCTCTGTCCCCACATGAAAGGCTCGGGTGGGATATAGGGTTGCCAACCCTCCAGGAACTAAAGATAAATCTTTAATTAAAGATCATGTAACGTGATGAAACCTCCAGGAATACGTCCAGGCAAAATTGGCAACCGTGCCGGTATACCTGCACCCCCAGCCCCAGTCTAGTGTAGACAAGGCCTTAGACCAGAATGAAACATTTCTTTTTCATTATAGAGCGACTTCAGAAACGCTTTAGGTGAGGTTGGGAGTGGCTAGTTTTAAAGGCAACGTTCTCTTACTTTGGATCTAGCACCAGGAGTGTAGCCTGGGCAAAACCTTTATCAGAGAGTTTGGAAAGGGTGGTAATCCCGAGTCAGCTGGCATTCGAGTGGGATTCTAGGGCGGCGCGAATGGAAATCGGATTCCCGGGCAGCACTGACCATGCTAGGGGACGCTCGCTGCTGGTGTTTTCGTTTGGACTCTATTGATTCCAGGGCTGATTTCCCTTCCCCAGGCTCGACTGTGATCTGTGGCCTGTCAGGACGCATGAGCGCTGTTCCAAACCACCCACAAACGGGGGCGGGGGGGGAATTTCACCAAAAGCGGAGATCGGGCATCCTTAAAATGCTATGTTGTACTGCCCGGCTGGATCGACAGGTATTTAGTGCCCAAGCTGCTGTCAGGTCAGATCTAGAGCCTCAGATGTCCCCACAGATCCATGTAGCTAGCAGTAGGGCCAGCTGCTCTGTGGGGCCTCCTCTCTGCCCGGGGAGACTCTTGTCTAAGATCTGCGTCATTGTTGGTCTCGCTCTTTGCCTTCTCTCTGCCATGGCTGCCAACAAAGAGAAGGCCTCGTTTGTGTGGGCGAATGACAGAAATGAGACGGAAAAGACCGCAGGAGGAAGGGGCTTCTGATTAAGGCATGGGACTTAGAGACAGAGTTCTCTTCCAGGCTGCGTCACAGACTTGCTTGGGACAAGGCGCGTCCCGGCTCAGTGCCTCAGTTTCCCCAGGCGGTGAGGTGATGGTGCGTTTCGTCCCCACTTTGCAGAGCCAGGGCCCGGTGAACCCCAGAGCACCATGAGGCCACCCTAGCCAGAGCCCAGCCCGTGCGCTGCCCTGCATCCTGCCTGTCTGTCTTGTGCCCGCATGATCCCACCTCCCTCGGTGCCCTCTCAGCCTCCTCAAGTACAGGCTGCCGAGCCCTAGCAAAGACTTACTGATTCTCCAGGGGTTTCCTTGCTTGTGCACACGGATCAACCGGGCAATCTCTGCACCTGCACTGGAGTGAAGTGATGCCAAAGTGGCTTCCCCTTTGCAAACGCCACCTTGCCTGCTGGGCTGGAAATGTCAGCCCTCGGAGGGGCTTCTCATTGATGTGGGTCTGAACCCTGCACTCCTTACGCAGCATTTCCTGCGGAAGAACTAAGTCTTACGGGGTGGTGGCTAGTTAGGGGATCACTCAGCCACTGGTGGGGTGGGGCATGCCAGCTATTTGTGCAGGGATCACTGGGCTAGCGCTGAGATGCAGCCAGCTCTGGGGTGGGGCGTGGCAGCTGCTTATAACACGGGATCTTTACTAACCATGACCTCAACTGAACTTGCCCTGCAAAACGGATGCTCCCGCAGCACTGACTGAGGAGGGAAAGCGCCCCCTAGTGTATCATCCGCACAGCTCCCCGCAGCACAGCACCCGCTAACCCTGCCTTGCGCTCAGTACCAACGCGGGACGTCACCCCCCCCCCCCGATTTCGTCAGGCCTAACCCCGTTTAGCGTGCTCTGTGCAGAACCCACCAATCCTCTCTGCCCCGAGCTGGCCAAGTCACTCTGGGAACCGGGCTGGTGGGCGGCGGACGGTGCTACAAACCTGGGGAACCCCTGTTTACTGGGTGTGAAGGCAGGCTGCCCCATGGCTCACAAAGCTCCCCCATTCTCCAGGGCCCTCACCGTCTGGAAGATTCTGGCTCAATCAGCTAGTCTGTACAGCCTCAGCGAGTACCAAGAAATTGCTATTGATTTCCCAGGTTGATTGTCCGGCTCATCAGCCCTGCCTCATCTGGCCCTGCTGACAAGCCAGGGAAATTAACGAGTTGTTAATATACTCGGGAGCTGGCGAGCCCTGAGCTGCGTGGGCAGGGAAGGTGGGAGGCTCTGGAGGGGTGCCGAGGTTGTGCTTCTCCAAACAGAAGGAGGGGGCTGCTCCTCCCAATCCAGCTGCATCACCAGGCTCCAAGGGGAGGGGGGGGCGTGAGATCTGGTGCCAGCTATAAGCGTGTTTTCTCCCAAGGAGCAGTTGCCTCCTGGCCTGGAGCAGGAAGGTAGCAGATCACAGGTAGCCTTACAGGACAGTTTCCCGCTGGAGGAGAAATCAGCCGTGCAGAGGCTGGGTAGATTCTTAGTCCAACTAGTTGCGCCGGTCCTGGAACGGAGGCGGTCCCCAGCGGTCCTCGGGCAGACCCCTGCGTCCGGGCTGGCGCGAGGGCGAAGGAGAAAGGCAAAGAGCAAAGGTCTCGTGCTGTTTGCGCCAGCTCGCCGAGAAGCAACGACGGCACAAATCTAACCCCGCCAGCTGCATTTCTTCAGCGCCTGTGCCCTGCTCACCCGCTGGCACCTGCCGTTCAGTGCGACACCGCAGCAGGGGGGGGAGGATTTATCTGCGGCCCAGCAGCTGCGCTCCCAGCCGGGATCAGCTGAGTTCAGGGCCAGAAACTGATGCTTTCCGACTCTGATCGGCTGATCTCTCACCCTGTGACGGCGCCTGACAGGGCCAAGAGCCGGAGGAGTCTGTCTCTAGGGCAAGCCCTTGTTGTCT